CACCCCGCCACCTCTCCCCTCCCCAACTCCAGTCGCGAAACCGCTTCCTCTCGCCGAATGCATCCGCTCGGGTAACTCCGAAGAACCCCCAAGAGCGATTTAAACAATTATCATTTTAAAATAATCATAATAATTCAATGTATTATCACTCCCCACCCCACTTAGATCCGAAGTACGGAGGCCCTTGCCCGCTTGCATAAAGGACGAAGGATTTAGGACTAGCCAACAAGGAGCAATCTCCCTCTGTTGGTGCCTCGAAGCCTCACACCGGCTTTCCAATCCCGGGCAGCCTTTCGCTTTGCTAAGAAGCAAAGTCCTGGCGCATCTTTGTCTTTAAGAGGCACGACGGGGCGGGGTTAGGGCCGAAAGGGCGTGGCCACAGGCTGGCGCACCTGTGATTGGACGGCGGGGCAGCCCTTCCCTCCTCCCTCTCTTTCCTCTCTCCCTTCTCTTATAGATTTCGTTCACTCCCCCCTCCCTCCCCGTTGGAAAGGGCAGTTCCAGCATAGCGCTGACGTCACCCCGTCTGTCTGCTTCAGCCTCCCCGCTCTCGCGTATGAAACTGAATCTCCTTGGACTTGAATGAGGAGCGAAGCGAAGCGGGGAGGGGGGAAGTTACGAAGCTCTTATCTGGGCAGGCGAGGGAGAGCGAGCGAGCGAGAGGGAGACGGAAACAAAGTCGAACGTCTCTTCCAAGCCCCAGCGCTGTGCGAACTTCTAGGTCCGGAGGGGGAATGGGAGGGGGGGTCGAGGAAGGAGCAGGTCTTCGGAGCTGAGAGCCCTTTCGAGCGTCTCTGACTCTCATTTTGTTTTTGGCAATTATTATTATTTTTTTGGAGGGAGGGTTTTTTTAAAAAAAAAATTAAAGGTTTTTTTTTTAAGTTCCTGGGGTTTTTTTTTCCTTCGTCCTCCTCCTCCTTCCCACATCGTACCCCCCACCTCTAAGGAGAACCCCGTCTTTATGTTATGCTGCCCGGAGACCTTTTGGGGTCTTCCCGTCCCTTTGTTTCTCCTACTTTTTTTTTAAATGTATAACTTGATGGGTCTCAACGGCACCGCCGGAGTCATCCAGCCGAATGTCTCCTGTACATGCAACTGCAAACGGTCTTTGTTTCAGAGTATGGAGATCAGTAAGTAGCCTGATTTATTTGGTTCTTAACTCCCCACCCCCAAAAAAGTATTTTTAATGGGCCGGCGGGGGGGCTGTTTGTTTCTCGGGAACGGTGGGCTGTTTCCTTCGGGAGTTTGGATGAAATCTGGGCAGCCTGATCGTTCCCTTGCTTGGTCTCTCGCCGTCGGTTTCATTGCACGGTTTTTAAGGGGGGGGGAGGGAAAAGGGGGTGACGGTGCCGTGGAGGGGGGGAACTGTGTGTCGCTGGGTTCCGAATCGCGGTCTCCCCCTTTCCCCAGGATTCTTGAATCTGCGCCTGTTTCCGCCGCCCCCCCCCCGGCTTGGGGCGTTATGCTGATGTGGGTGCCCCAAAATTAAAAAGTTTTTAGAAAACGGCTTAAAAAAAAAAAGCACCGCAAAAAATGAAAAAAGTGCATACTTTTTTTTAAAAAAAATCCGCTTTTAGGGTTTCTGGAGGAGGAGAAGGAAGAGGAGGCCAGCTTTTCTGTTTCTCCCCCTCTCCGCTTCCCAAAGTTGCTTTCTTGGTCGAGGTGGAACTTCAGCTCGGATCTCTCTCTCCTCCCCCCCATTCGTGTCGATGTTGCGCTTAATCAGAGTTGCCGGGCAGGAGGGGGGGGAGAGCGAGACAGAGTCGCTGGTACTGATTGATCTGCGTGTCGCCGGCGTTGGATACAGACATCTGAGAGGGGAGGGGACGCGTTGGGTGGGAGACCCTTCCTTGGCCGGGGTCTCCTTTGGGGGAAGGGAAAAGGCGCAAGGGCCGACTGACCGAGGAGGGGTCGGGGGAGAGGGATCCCGGGCACGGAGTCTGATCGCCCCGAGGAGCTTTGTGCACTTCCTAAGCCAGACGGGGGGGAACAGCCTGCTCGGGCTATTTAAAGCACATGCTCGGTTGGAGAATCCCCGAGCAACCCCGGGAGCCTTTTTCTCCCACGACGCCGCCTCTCCTGCTCTGAGAGCCCGGCCAGCCTGTTAATCGCCTCTCCCGCCCGGTCGCGATCTCCTCTTTCCCCTCTCTGACCCCCCGTGCAAAGCGGGACCCCTTCCTCCTTCATCGCCCCCCGCCCCGACTTGGAAACACTTTAACCCTTTCCAGTTACTCCTAACCCACCCAAGCGTGTTTTTTTTTTTAAATTGAATCGCCTCTTGCTCGGGACCCCTTTAAACTGCGCGGTGGGGGGGGGGATGGAGGTGCTTTGGACAAATCCAGCCCTCTGAGACCCTAGATGGAGGAACCTCCATGGTCTGAAGCAGTCTGTCTTAATGTCAGGTACCTGGGGGGGGATAACGAGCTGTGGCCCCCATGCCCTTGCTTGTCACTTTCCCAAGTGAAATCTGCCTAGGCTGTTTGGGACGGGAAGGGTTGGAGGAGATGGAGTTTTGATCCGACCCAGCAGCCGTGCTCCCTCCCTCTAAGCTGCGGAGTCTTGTGAGCAAAAATTCTACTGTGTGAGCTACCTACATTCAAGTTGTGAGTGAGTGATTTGGCTGCTGCATACATTAGTTTGCCCTGGAGCCATCCTTCCTGAGCTAAGACAAAAATGTGTGAGCCAGAGGCTAAAAACCTGTGAGCTAGCTCACACTAACTCAGCTTAGAAGGAACACTGCCCAGCAGGGCTTTACTTATGTCTTTTGGCTTTCTGCTCCAGTTTTGTACTCCAAAATATTTAAGCGGTGGCTGCCTTCATTTAGGAAAAGGGGGGGGGTTATTGGAGGCATTAGCTAATTGCTTTGTGACACACTCCCATGGTGAAATAAGATAACAGTTTAGCAATTAAGTCGTCTCCCTAGTCTGGTGTGTGTGTGTGTTTGTGTGTGTCTGCAGGGGAATGCAAATGCTCCGTCCAGCAAGCTAGAATTGGTGTCTATAAATAGCAATCGCTTGGTCTGAGAAGTAGATTACGGATCAGTCTAGCCTTTGGGAAAAGCGAAGCCAGACAGAACTCACAACTCTCCCCCCCCCCCCCCCGTGTGTGTCTGTAAAGTTTCTTTAAGCTAACTAATTAAATGTAACCATCCTAGATCTTATGATGCATCCAGTAATAGCATTAATCCAACTTCCTTGAAGGGTGATGTTGTTTTTTAAAATAATATTGTGTGTGGGGAGAGATAAGTAGGCAGGTAGGTGAGAAAATGTTGGAAGATCTATTTCAGCCTCTTTGTAAAATGCCCCACAGTGGAATGGGGGGGGGGAGCATAACAGCTTGAAGCCATAGAATACTGCCGTTTTCTCTTTGACTCCGTAATATTTGTGCCCCGGATCTAACCCATTCCTAATTCTTTTAACATAAGGACGTGCTGGGAGACCCCAGAGTCTATAATATTTTTAATACCTGCCGTTCTGTGATGAGTCTGGCTGATTTGTCACCTTCTTTTCTTACCTCCCCTCCTTTTTCTGTGCATGTTGGCGGTCTGGTATTTAAACATCCTGAAGCCTGTGCATAGGATGCAAGCCGTACATGGCCACATTCTCATTAATTCTGAGCATGTCTGTGCCCTTGCAGTGGCTACAACCCCACTAGACACCAGACACAGCAGGCCTCTCTCCTTCTAATGGCTTGGGGGGGGGTCTTCCCCCCCCTTCCTGGTGGGGATGGAGGTGTCAAATTATTTCATCGTAAAGTCTGCAAATTAAAAATCAATGTCCACAGTGAAAATGTGATTATCTCTCTAAATATCACGACAATTAACATGGATTTCTCTCCCCTCCCCCCCACATTCATCTCGGCTCTGATCTTTAAACTGGTTTGGCTGTGACTTTGGATTATTTACAGTGTCTTATTTGCTGCAGAAATGCACCGAGGGCTTCTGCCTGCTCTGTAATGTAATGCCAAATATCCCTGCCCTTCTATACGTGTGCGTGTGTGTATTCCCTCTTCAAATTCATCACTTTTATTTCAGTCTCTTCCTCTTGGCTAATCAGCCATAATGATGTTTTGGCTGACACTGAGGCAGTCCTGTTAATTTACTTGTCTGCTTTTCCAAACAGACTTCATTTCTCTCTTCTGACGAAGTGATACTCAGGGGGATTTGACCAGCAAGGTTAGCATTGGTAGCAATGCATTCAGAATATATATATATTTAACACATACCCTCTTGCATTAGGACTGGATGCTAAAAGAGAAATAGGGCAGGGAATGTTAAGCCATTTTATTTCTGTATAGTTTTCTTTAATTGCTGTACAAACATGGGGGGGGGGCATTTGTGCTGTCTCCTGTTGGTCAAATCCTCCCTGTCTGTTCTTTATTCATATGTACTGTTTGCAAGCAAGCGCCTGTTTCTTTAATAGCCCCCACCTTAACCCAAGAGTCAGTCTTCTAGCTAGATCTTTGTACTTGTTTGGGAATTCTACAATGCTGTGCATAAAGGAATATTTAAAGAGATTAAAGCTAGACTCGGTTTTGATTTTTAAATTCTACTTGCTCTCATTGGCATTCAGTGGCAAAATCTAACTCTGTCTGTAATCTCAATGAAGCCTGCCCAAGAGGAAGAAGCCCCATTGAACTCAGGTGGGCTTATTTTCAAATACAGTTCCTAGCAGGAAGCTTTAAAATGCCCTCAAGCATTTTACATGGTCTTATAATGAAGTCTTCATAAGGCATATCTACAATGGAACGAAATTTCCCTTTGGTACTCGGTAGATAGGGAAGCGTGTAAGGTAATAGAATACCATCTCGTAATGTGGATAGAGAATCTGGGTCTCTGTCTTCCTTGTGTCCTCCTGGACATACTGAGCAGCAGCAAATAACATTTGGGAGTTTGTCTGGCCTCACTGAAGAACTGTTTGACTGTGTTCTTGCTGTTTTCAGAATTCAGAGAGCCAAAAATTGACCTCATTTCAATTTAACTTCAGCCTTGACTCTGTGTGCAGGTGCAACTGGATAACTTTTAAATAGCCATTCCGTTCTGAGAATGTGAAGCTAGATTTTTATTTAAGGTTGTTATTACTAAAGAGCTGATCCTTCTTGATTTGAGCTGGCTCCGTAGAATGTGTGATGAAACCAATTGTCTTTTGACTTTGAAAGTGAATTGTTTTAAGTCAGCCCCTAATGGCATTCCTCATTCCCTTATTAAGAGAATATTTTATTTTATTTTATTTTCTGAGCATTGGACACATTATTATAAAAGATTTTTTTTTTTTATCGGCATAGTCCAAATGTGTTCTTAACTTCCTTGTGGAGGAAAAGAGTCTTGACAGCACAGCAAAAGTTTCCTGCTTGGAACAATTTGTTCTCTTTCAAATGATTCCTTGGCACTTTGAGAATGGGATGCAGTTTCAAAAAATTGTTCTTCAAGGTGTGAATTGCCAGTGCTGGGAAGATTCACGTCTTGATAAATCTGTGTCAAAACGCTATGGTAAAACTGGGCAGGGAGCAAGATAGAGGAATTACTTTGGCGCTGCCTGGGTATGTGCATGTATTAAAATTGATGAGGCTTACGTCTGAGTAAAAATGAGTAGATTTGGGCTGCACCCAAGTTTGCAGAAAGACTTATTCTTACTTTCTTAGGGGTGTTTGTTTCTAGCTGTCTGCCCATCTCCAGCAACTTTGCTCTGCCTCTTGTCAACACTCATCTCGGATCAGGTCCCTTGAAACACGAACTCTTTCTGGAACTAGACTTTTCCCTGAAATCTTTAGGGACTGAAGTAGATAGGCTCCTATGGACAAAGCATATAGCGCTTTTTAACGTCATGTACAGTTTTCTGTTCTCTCTGCATCAGTCTTTTTTTTTAAAAAAAAAAAACTGGGTAGAGAGCTAAGAAGTCTAGAATGCCTTCAATTACTTCAGTCCATGTTATAGTATGCACCCTCTGATTCCAGGCCAATGCATCTTAATTATTTCCTCTCCCCTGTTTCCTAATTCACAGTCTCTAATGGATATTAAGATCCCTATTTTCCCCATTTAAACATACCTTCAAAGTGTGGAGGGGGATTGACTTTTAACCACTTCTGTGTGCATATAAGAGGGACAAGGAATAAGTGTGTTACAGATTAATTG